TAGACATATTTTATTATTGATGTGTAAACATTAAGTTAAAAGCTAAAGTTGTAGTTACAGCCAATATACCTTCCGCTTCTTTTATTTATATACCTCCCATTTCTATGGAAGTTTTCGGGCAAGGAAGTGTCCATCGCGCTGCTACAATGCGTGTTGGTGAACTTAACTTACGATCTTTTTTCCTCACGATCTTTTCCTACACTGCCGAGCACGTGGTAAATAAGTACTTAAAATTGGAATTAACAATTTCATTGGTGCCGGCGGGGATCTAACCCGGGTTGCTCGCGTACTGTGAAATTTACAACAAGCGCTTAGCCTCTGAGATAGGTACGACGGCTCATAAACGTAGCGTAGGTAAACATTAAGCTATTTAATTTTTTTAATCAAATGCGTAAACTCATCTGCTCCTATCGGGTAAATTTGTAGGGACTAAATATTTTCCAGCACTGCTACAACAATCAGTTTAATAATGTTAGTTGGTTGCAATATGGGGTTGGACGGGGTGGGATTACGTCACCCAAGCTTTTCAACTTTTTCATAAATGACCTAATCGTGGATCTCAACGGCAAAATTGTTGAATTTTGTATGCATGAACTAGGTACAGGTCTTCTCTTATTTATGTGAAGCTTTTTGGAACATAGAGCCGTGGTAGCTCAGATGGTTAGCGCTCGCTGTAAATTTCACAATACGCGAGCAAAACGGGTTCGATCCCCGCTGGCTCCAATGAAATTGTTAATTGCAATTTTAAGTGCTGATTTACCACGTGCTCGGCGGTGAAGGAAAACATCGTGAGGAAACCTGCATGTCTGAGAAATAAGAAAAAAATTTCGAAAACATGTGAAGTTCGCCAACACGCATTGGGGCAGCGCGGCGGACTATTTCTTGCCCTAAAACCCTCTCAGAAATGAAAGGAGGCCTGTGCCCAGCAGTGGGACGTATATAAGCTGTAACTTTACTTTTTTTGGAGCATATTAGACCACTGTATTGCCAGAATTTTTCTGCTATATTCATAATTATAGGTCTTGTTCGTAAATCAGTATTTAAAACTGCCATCAATAATTTATTTGGTTCGGGCGGGGTTCAATCTCGATTTGCTGGCGTACAAATTAATTTTGTGACAAGTGCTTCTAAGCTATCGGATGACAAATGAGATTTTATATAAACATAATTTTACATTGACATAAATACACTTCAGTTGTAGGTCACGCATTTCGTCATAAGTCATTATTAATTTGCATTTTGAATGTATTGTATTTATCCTCATGTCTCTGACATAATATTCCTTTATCTCATTGCGTTTTATCAAATAAAGAATGATGACAATGACGTAGTACTTCTTTATTGGTTTTAATACATACAGCAGTATAATATACTTTGCACAGTTGGCCACTTAAAGTTGTTTTTGTTTGAAATTGAAAACGTTATTATGCTCTATCTTGAATCCTGCTACACACTGGCAGTATTTAAAAATAATAATCACCAAATATAAGTAACAATTTTTTTATGATCTCTACTCTCACTCCGCTATAATGATGATTCGCTTATCACCGTGTAGTGGCGGTGTAAGAATATCTACTATCCCGTATCGTCCCGTGGGAGTCGCAAGAGAACAGAGAGAAACTGAATCAAGAGATGAACGGCATCATATTCCCGATAACAACTTAAAGGAATTGCGGTTGATAACCTACCTTCCAAGCGTGGTAATTATGGCAAAATCCCTCCTATGAGGCAATCTTGTGCATGTAAAATTTGACATGCACAAAGTTCAAAAACTTTATTAAATTAAGTTTGTATAAAAAGGGTTATTATAATATTAAGGAATTTATGGATGATAATAATCCCCGGGAAGGTTGATCGCTACAAAGCTATTTGTAATTTGTTTTGTGTTGTTAATTGTAACATACATGATTGTAAGCTGTTATTTAAAAAAATTAGTCACGCTGGATTTCTTACTGGTTATTCCCAGGACAGAGGTTTTCAGTGGGTACAAGTCTACTGTTGAACATAGGTCTCACCAAGTAATGCCACAAAGCACGGTCCTGAGCCACCTGCATCCATCGACTTCCTGCATGTCTTACCAGGTCGTCACTAAATCTAGTGGGGGGTCGCCCTACACTACGTCTGCCGGTACGAGGCTGCCACCCGAGAACCTTTTTTTTCTATCGGTTATCGGTTCTTCGAGCTATATGGCTTATTATTTTTTTCTAAACCATTGGTATATTTAAAAAAATAGTTACTTTCAGTATGTATATTTATAATCTATATTGAATAAAAAAGTTTCTGTTTCTGTGGATAAACCGATGTTCAGCAGTGGACTTTTATGGGATGTAAGGATGGACATTGGGACTTAGTTACAGGATAGTCAATAATATGGACCGGTAGCACAGCGCTAAGCACTCTAGGATAAGCGAATAAGTATATTTGTCATCAACATCTTTATAGCTTCCTAAAGTCTACTGTTGAACGTAGGCTTCCCTTTTGATTGCCTTATATTTGCCTATGTTGGCACGCTTGGCAGGCATGTTTGCAGACATGCTGCATGATTTTATTAAAATTTAAGTTGTTATCAGGAAGATGCTTCAACCCATCTACTGTTTCGTTCCTCTCTGTCGCCCCATCCCACGCCCACGGGATAATATTACGGAGTAATGAATTCTGTTAAGTAGCCACTACATTTATAGCAAAGTAATGAATTCTGTTAAGTAGTCACTAAATTAATAGAAAAGTAATGAATTCCGTTAAGAAGCCACTACATTTATAGCAAAGTAATGAATTCTGTTAAGTAGCCACTACATTTATAGCAATGTAATGAATTCGGTTGAGTAGCCACTACATTTATAGAAAAGTAATGAATTATGTTAAGTAGTCACTACATTTATAGCAAAGTAATGAATTCTGTTAAGTGTCCACTACATTTATAGCAATAGATCATATGCTCGCAATATACAATTCTAAAGACTAGAAGTATTTTTGTACATGTTTAATTTATGTTTATAAAGCACTGATACAGAAAAAATTTCTCAAACGTTTGTGTAAAAATAAAATATTAGAAGTTGCGAAGGTATTATTTCAGAAAATAAGACATTTATAAAGATTAAAAGACTCAGTACATGTTATGAACACATTACTAACTTCAAACAATATAAGAAGTCGTGACAAGCGGTATGGAAGTATAAATTATCTCCTTAGCACGTACAACTCATTCGCAATTAAAATTAGGTAAGTATTGTTGCCTTGTGGAGAAAGTGTCCCTTGTCAATCTTTTGTTGATGCTGTGTTAAAATACTTTAAAGATTCAGAAGGACAAAAATATTATTTTTAATAAAACCTCTAACTGATTAAATATTTGTCGTTATTTATCACTTATCATAAAGTGCCCTGAAAGTATTGGTAGCCCTACAATAGATGGTGTGACGACCTGGTAAGAATTACATGAAGTCGTTGGATGCAGATAGCTCAAGACCATGATTTGTGGCATTCTTTGGACTTGGACATCATAAACCATTATTTTATAGGTTTTATTAACTTGACATAGTAATTTTTTAGTTGCAGGTCCCCTGGCTAATGATATATTTTTGACGTTGAAATTAAACAGTGTTTATACACATTAGTTATCGTAAACGAAATTGTAACAAGGAATTTATATCATGTTCAATGAGCACAGTTTCTTGCCAGTACTTTTTTGGAAATTTCCTGTTTTTCCGAGCCGGTGTAGATTTTGACGTTTATGAGAACTTTAAACAAGCATAAATTTTGCTGATTTAATATTTTATAGTCAGACGTCGGATTTAACTTTGCTTGCTAAAATTAAATAGCCGAAATGAATCAGTAAATCACAAAGAAAGTTATCACAAAAAAAGTGAACGTCAACCAGAACAAGCAAACGAAAACCGGATTCCTACAATAGAAATGAGAAGAGTTCTAATGTGTCAGTTGCAAACCAACAAAGAAAGTAAGATTGAGCGCTGCATACATTTAAGGTGACGTCGGAACCATACTGAACTTGTTGCCCACGCACTCGCGCACACATCTTGTCTGTGTGCGTAAGTGTAAGTGTGGGGTTTGCCCTGCGCTTAATAGACATTTATTTATTTTCAAATACAGGGTGATTCAGAATACTGCATTTGTCAAATAGGTATAAAACATGTGAAGTCCATCAATACGCACTGGAGCAGCGCGAAAAACTAGTTGTTCCATAAACCTATAGATATGAGAGGAAGTCTGTGCCCAGTCGTGGGATGTATAATTATGGGAGTTTACTTTAAATTTGATCTAAATTTCTAAAACAATACTTGTTAATACAAAGGGGGGTTTTAAAAATGTTTTTTTTATATAGGTTAAAGTAAAACATACGCGGGGGGCCGGAAATTTTTTCTAATTAAAAGAAAAACAAATGACAAAAATGAATAAATCACGAACGGTAATTGAGATAATGTTTCTATAGACTCTAAATTAATAGAGGATATATCATTATGATTATAGTTTCTTAGAGAAAGTTTATTCTTCTGCAACATTTTAAATAGGTACATATATGAAAATTACGAATATTTTCTAAACCATAAAAGAAAAATGATATAATAAAAAGACAGATTAATGGTTCATTTTAACATCATACTTGTACAAATAAATTTTAAAACTGAACAAGAATAAATTAGCCTTTATAGCTTAATATTAAAATATAATTGGAAGATGTCTGTACTTATATATTTGTGCAGCTGGTCTTAACTTACGAGTAGCGGCGGGAAACTGATAGTATGGTGGTACCAACACGCACCTCCTAGGTTGGAAAAGGGCTCTACCATCCAGTGAACTTATTAATAAATCATTTTATAAGACTTGTATTTTAGATAAAATTGATTTTTTATCTTTAAATAAATAAAAGGATATTAAAATAAAAACTTTCAAAAAGATCAAAACACTTTTACACCGTAACATCAATTTACAGCGTTAAAACTTAGGCTATTGTCGAAAAGAAAACAACTTTCGCTATCAAAACTTACTTCAAACTCGTTTCAACTGTGGCCGACATTTTGATACTAAACACGACCGATACGCGACGGTATACTGTGGTCACTGACGTTTGCCGCGTCTTGTCTCACTGAGGCTTTAACCGTGAGATATTTGTAGAGCTGCATCCAACGCTACAATTACAGGAGATTTGTAATTAAAATTTTGTGTATTTAATTTATAATTATTCCAATAAATAATTAAAAGCAGTTTTATCATACAGGAATATTTTTAGAATAAACTGAATTGTATAGTCATCGGATATTACAATTGATATTTACAGTTTTAGATAAAACATTTAATCCAAAAATTTGGAATACTAATTGATTTTAAACTTTCGGGTTATATGTAATTCCAGAGATTATATAACTGTTATGCCTGACTAGAATTCGTAGTAGAAATGGTTTACGTATACGACTGTTACATACGTTACATTTTTTTATAGAATGGGGGGACAAACGTACACACAGTTCACCGGCTGCTGTGACTCATAGACATCTAAATTTATCTTCGATTAAGAATCAAAATGGACTAAATGAACTAGTGATCGTCAAGTAAGTAGTAAAAGTAGTATTCTATAATCTACTCAAAAGGATGAAATAAAAAAGACTTGTTACCGTGTAGTAGCCGTGTAAGTATGTCCACGGCGACAAAGGAAAATCACAAATCAGGAGATGGCAGACAGAAGCGTCTTTCTAATAACCACTAGAAATAAAAAACTGCGGTTGCCAACACGCTTGCAAAGCGTGGTAACTATGGCAAGTATCACCCCTATCTATGGGGGAGGCCTATGTTTAGCAGTGGACTTTACTAGGCTGTATATATATTTTGAATTGGATTATACTTTTTTCATAACGTTTAATTATGTATCTGTCACACTTATGTCATGCATTGACACATAAAGCCAGCTCTTGTAAGATCTTCATTTGACTTTACGCTAAGGCTATTGATAAAAGAAAACGCGCTCGTAGAAGCGAGAGTCGTGGGAAGATACGGATAATCGTATTTACTGGTTTTGCGATGTTTTGCTTCCGATTCCCTCCCTTTCAGTGCACGTGTTTATAAAACTTAAGAAGTTACATATGAGAATCTAAAATATTTAAACCGCAGCTACGTGCTTAAAAATAATTTTTCCAGATAATTTTTTCGGTGATATGATTTTTTTTCTAAGCTTTCTTTAAAAACTTAAAAGAAAAACATTATCTAACTACAAAATTTCATTTCAAATCATCGGAGCCGTGTCCAATAAACCATTTACCTAAATATTATAAACATTGTTATTATCATTCTTGTAACAGCTCACAAGTATATTACGGAGCGTAGGCCTCCCCAAGGAATACCATAACTTAAACAGGATACAATTAGTATTCAATACAAACGTTACAAATAACTGGGCTCGGCAGCGTTCGGTAAATTACGACACATCTTCTCGTCAGGTATACCTCAAAACCTGAAAACTAAATTGTACAAACAGTGCGTGTTACCAGTGATGATTTCTGGATCTGAGACGTGGTTCTTCACTGCTGGCCGTATGAGGACGCTCAAGGTCGCACAGCGAGCTATAGAGAAGGCTATGCTCGGGGTTTCTCTGCATGATAAACTTCGAAATGAGGATATCCGCTGTAGAACCAGAGTGACCGACATAGCCCAACGGATTAGTAAGCTGAAGTGGCAATGGGGCGGCCATATAGCTCGAAGACCGACAACCGATGGGGAAAAAGGTTCTCGAGTGGCAGCCTCGTACCGATAGGCGTAGAGTAGTCTAGTGTAGTGCGACACTCCACTAGATGGAGCGACGACCTGGTAAGACATGCAGGAAGTCGATGAATGCAGGTGGCTCAGGACAGTGCTTTGTGGCATTACTTGGGGGAGGCCTATGTTTAGCAGTGGACTTGTGAAAGGCTGTAATGATGATTATGATAAACGTTACAAAGTGAATCCCAACTCCAACCATTAAAATGGTAGTATCGAAAATTTGAATTTGTTAATTCATACTAAAACTGACTACCTACCTACTGCAACAAGCGGTAATAAAGTAATAATATAGCACATGCAATACGTATGTATGTAATCACTATGGTAAAATCCCCCCTTTTCGAACTTTCGACTAATCCGATTTTTTTATGTTGATTAATATTGAATAAACGAAATCTGTTTAGAAAATCGATTGAATAGACTATGTTATTAAAGTAAAAAAAAGAAATAACATTTAAATATTATCTTACACGATTGCACAGGTTGTATGGTTATTGATGGACATCTCCCGAAGGAGATGTGATGGTACCGCATTTTGTCGCGACGTGTGTTCGTGGAACATGACGCTTGGGATTAATCCGAACAATTTCTCAGAGAACTCTCCGTGGTATATGGGATAGAAAATGCAAAGGGATGCAACATCTCTTCGCAGCATCAGTGAATCAAGCCGATCAGAGAAGACTCGGTCGCCGACGATTCGAGACGCTCTGCGCTGGATGTGGTCAAGTCGAGAAGGAGCTGGCACTGGGAGTCCCGGCCCAGAGATGAGAACAGTATTGCATGTGAGGCCGAACCTGCGCCTTGTAAAGTTGCGGGTAGTATGCCGGCATGAAATACTGTCCCGCTCTGCTGAGCACGCCAAGCTTGTTAGATGCCAATTCGGCCTTCTCTTCCAAGTGACCACGAAACTGCTACACGAAGCTGCTGCTAAATGAATGGAATCAACAATAATATATGCGCTTTCATCACCGATAGCGAAACAACCAACTTGCTTATGATAATCATCATTTATTTTTTTATTTAAAAAAAGCTATCTCCATACTAGGATTTTCTCCCGTATCGTAGACAGTCATCATTATCGTCATCTTCACAGCCTATAAAAGTCCACTGCTGAACATAGGCCTCCCCCATAGATTGCCTCATAGGGGGGATTTTGCCATAGTTGGCACGCTTGACAGCGAGCTTATTTGTCATCCGCAGTTTTTTATTATTACAGTTGTCTTTAGGAAGATGCTGCTGCCCATCTCCTCATGTCTCCCTCTCTCGCCTCTTGCGACACCCACGGGATGATTTGGGGTAGTGGATATTCTTAACCGCCACTACACGGTCGTAGGCAGTTAACATTCATAAATTTCACAAGGACAAACATCCAGACCTGGAACTATTATTTGTAGGTTATACAAATACATGTTCCGTGCGGGATTCGAACCCGCGGCCCTCAGCGCTGCAACTCATTGCTAAGCCACTGCGCCACGGAGCCGTCAAATTACATTACAGCATTTCACCGCTGTAAAAAGCCTCGTTATACACGATCCCTTCAAGTTTTTTAATTCATTTATTAGCAAAGACAATTATTAAATGTAGGGTAGGTGAGGGTAACACGGTCACCTTAAGCTTTGCTGCCCTGTAAAACCAAAACTAGGTGAAGGACAGAGACAAAAACACAAATTCGTATACTGTAACTAATATATTAAGAAAAAAAATAGCAAACAAGCCTTGGCAATCATTAGGAACACTTCGAAAAATCTACTTAAAAACATTCCCTACACTACACAATACTAAATTCGACTAAAATATTTACTACAATGTCAACTGACAAAGTCATGACCCTTTATTATTTCATTGACCGATGAAGAGCTACTGTAATCACAAAGCCATCTATGCAAACAAGGCTATAGTTTTTGAGTAACAAGAAAGTGAGCATATCGACCGGGTGATCATATTACCCTCACATACTATATCAATATATTATACGATGGTCACACGTATGACTAGGCGAGACTTTCTTGTGAGTCTATCTCTCTATCTATCTGCTATTAATTTTTACATACTGTTACCGTTACACGTTATCAAAAGTCCACCGTCGAACATTGACCTCCCCCACTGGTTACCTCAGAGGGGAATATTTGCCATAGCTGCCATGATTGGAAAACGGGTCGGTAATCACAGTGTTTTATTATTATTATTTGTTATAAGGAAGATGCTGCCGTCTTTCTCCTGTTTCAGTTTCCCTCTGTCGCGTCTTACCGGAATCCAGTATCAGCTACAGCGCCCATCTTGTATAGCGTTGTACAGCGGCCATCTTGTATATACTATACTATACTAGATGAAATAATCACAGTAATAGTCCGGTTGTCATGCTATACACTGTGTTCGACCTAACAACACATCGGAATCTAATTTCGGGGATACATTGCATGCATCCTTTAGTAATAACTTTGGTTACAAATAGATACGTTATGTTATAAGATTGAGTTTTTTTTTATAGAATAAGGGTGACAAATGAGTACACAGTTTACCTGATGATAAGTGGATGCTGTGGCCCATAGACATCTACATTAATGCTCGATTAAGAATCAAAATGCAGATGCGTTGTCACCCCTGAGGACTATGATGGAATGCCTTGTTTCGACTAAGAAAGGGTCTCCGGATCCTTACACTCACCATTCGAAACACAGCTGTATTTTACACTGGTATTCTGTGAGAGTGTGGTCCTTCCCCGGTCGAGCAGACCAATTCGTGCTACAACCATAAAATAGCTGCAACGTGGCTATACCACGTATTAAAATAGATAAAAAATATAATAAGAGTAGATAAAAAATTTCTTAAAATATTACGTTACTGCAAGTGATAATAAAGCTGCAAACGTAATTGTTGAACGCGATATGTCACGTAATTCATTGAGAATGTTAACCATGTTAACTGTATTACCAAAATCCATCGCTGAAGGCCTCCATAGATTACCTCAGGCATATTTGCAATGTAATATACTGTATTGTAAATATCAAATATTATATCATATTCACAGTGTCTTAGCGGTATAATAAGTCTGCACTTTACGGTAAATACAAATATCTCCGTATCATATCATATTCACTATGTCGAGGGGGGGGGGGTAAAAATCTTCTACCCTATATCATCTCATGGTATCATAAGAAACAAGGGAGGGAGGGAAATAAGTCAGAGATGAATCAGAAGTCATGAGAATTTTAATGAAAACTAAAGAAATAAAAAAAACTGTGATAGCCCATCTGCCTGCCAATTAAT